TATAAGAATATTGTTCCTGCAAGTTCTTAAAAATTATTTTAATATTCTATTATTATCTAAAATTTAAACTAAAATTAATTTTGAAATCAATTTTTATTAGAAAATTCTACAAGAATTTAAATATTAAAATACAAAAGTAAATTATTTATTGAATAATTGAACGTTTCTTAAAATTTAATTTTTATAAAGAATTTTATTAACAAATTTTTAAATAATTGAATTCTTTTGACAAATTTTAATAAAATTTTTTAGAATAGTTCCATTTTTCAAGGAATTTGAATAAAATTGTATTAAAAATAATTGAAATTCCGCGATGAGTTTTATTATTTCTGAAAATAATTGAATTATTGAGAAGAAACTTTTAAAAAATTTGTAAATATTTGAATTCCTGTGAAATTTTTATTATTTATGAAAATAATTAAATGTTTGCGTACAATTTTATTAATATTGTTTTTAAACAATTGAATTCTTTTGGGTAATTTTATTAAAATAGTAGATTTTGAAAATCATTTCAATGAGAAAAATTTTGGAAAATAATTAAAATTTTGACAAGAGTTTTATTAAAAGTTTTGAAATTAATTGAATTTTGAAGAAGAATTTTTTTATTTATAAAGATAATACTTGGGATTTTGTCGAAATTTTCTTGTAAATTTTGAATATAATTTAATTTTATGATAAGAATTTTATTACTTTTAAAAATATATGAATTTTTGCAATCATTTGTAACTTCTTTAAGATTCAATTTTTTTTAGTGTTTTTAACTAAAATTCTTCTATAAATCCATTATTTTTAATAATTAATTAAATATATATATTGACAAATTTAACTAATTTTAGAAGATTTTAAATTATTAAAATTTTTCAAAAATCTAAGTTAATTAAAATTTCTAATTAATTTCATTCAACATTGAAATTTTATAAAATTTCAAATTGAAACCGTTTTAAGTTCATTTACTTATGAAAATTGTAAACCCAACTCTTTTGAAATTAATTTAATTTTGAAATATTTAAGTAAAATTATTCATTAAATAATTTATTTATTTTATGATAGTTGTTCAAGATTTAAGTTATTTATAATAAGAAATTTTTGTCAGAATTTGAAAAAATTGAAGATTTTCTATTAGAATTCGTGGTAATTTTATAGTTTATAAGGCAAATAAAAAGACACAAAAATTTAGAATTTTCTTATGAATTCTAAAAATTTAATTTTTATTTTTTTTCTACTATATATTCCAATTCAAAAGTTATTTTTATAAAAAAAAATTTTGAATTAAAATTTTTACGTTCTATAATTTTTAAAATTGCTAGTTTTATAATAATAATAATTATTTTTTTGTATTTCTATTATTATTTGACAAACACCAAATTTTATTTTCATTCTTCCTTTTTTATTTTTATTTTTACTCATAATATTTATTTATTTTTTAATATCTACTTCAATATTTAGGTACTAGATTTTCTAATTTCTTTTAATTATCTATTTTCTGTATTATTTTTTTATTTAATTGTATTCAAACATTTAAAGTGATTGTATTTTATTTAAACATTTTCTTGATAGTAAAAATTTTTATTTAATTAAAATAAATTCTATTCGAATAAATAATTTTTTTATTCGAATTGAATAGAATTTTAAACAAATAAAAAGATAAAGTAAATAAAAATTTTATTGTTCCAAATAAATATCTAGTTGATAGAATAATCAAGTAATTTACTGATTGATTCAAATAAAATCTTTTTCGTTCTGTAATAAATTAAATAGAAATAAAAAATTTAATAAATCAGATAAAAATAACAAAAACCATTTAAAAATTCCGTGAAGATGAGAATAAATAAATGTACATATGTTAATACACTGTATCGACAAAAAGAAAACTATTTATATTCTATATGTATGAAAAAAAAACTTGAAGTTGGTTTTTAATATTCAAGAGATAGTTTTGGCATTGTTGAGTGGAGCTTTGAGAAAAACACTGATTCGTTGTGTGTATGTTTACACTCTATTGGTCACAGTGATGAATTGCTTTGGTTCTCTTCGTTTAGTGCGGTTACAAAAAAAAAAGAGGGGAAAAAAATCAATCCGCAACTTTAACCGCTTTCAAATTGTACAATTAATCGAGGTTGACGCGAGCTCTTCACTTCTCTCTCCCTCTCTCTGGTTATACGCTTTTTCCATTTCTCCCGTCAATACCACTCTGTTTGGAATTAAGTGTATGCCGTCCATCCAATTCAATATTCAAAGCCCCTGCAGTTACACAAAGGTCCACAAAACTTTTTTATTTTTTTTTATTTTGGACAGTTACTGTACATTTGAACAGTTATAAATTTTACAATTTAGTTCACCAATCACTCACATCATATCATTGTTTACTGGATAAATTTCAATCAACGTTGAATCACTTTTCTATTGGAATTTTTATATTTTTCCTCATAGGAAATTTTTTTTTTTTTATAAAAATTTATATATTTATTGGCAAAAATGTTTTTTTTTTATTTATATTTATTTGTAGAAATTTGTTTTCTTTTTAAATTTATATTTATTTAGTGTTGCTACAAAAATTTGTTACTGATTTTTTTTTTTCAATTTCCTGACAGAATTTTTATTTTTTCTTTACTCTTATAAGAATCCAAGAGAAGTTAAATTTCAAAAAAAAAAATTTAGAAGCAAAATTTAATTTAAAACTTCATGTAAAAATAAAATTTGTTATTGTGGTGAATTTACTTCCATCATTTTTTTAAAAATTACAATGAAATTCTTAAATAATTCAATAAATTTTAATATAATTTGAAGAAAATTGAATTATTTTAAATAATTTTAATTACTTCTTTACAAAAATTTAATTATATTTAAAATAAAGAACTGAAATATTTTATAAACTTAATTTTTCAGACTTTCAAATACTTCGAAACTTCAATTTTTATATAAAATTTTTAAATTAGAAATTTATTTTTCTTAAATTTAGGAAATTTCAATTTTTTAAAAAAATTTTATCCACCTGTTTATAGAAATTTAATTATCTTTAAAAAGTAAAACTAAAATATTTGAAGAATCTAATTTTCAAAATTTCAAATAAAATTTTTCGAAATTTCACTTTTTAAAGAAAATTTTAAAATTTTAATTCATTGAAAATTCAATAAATTTCTTTAAAAATTAAATTTTATTAATAAAATTATAGGTTACTTTGAATACTTAAAAAAAATTTAATTCATATTTATAAAAAAATAAAAATACAATTATCTTTATTAAATTGAACTGAAATATTTTAAAAACATCATTTTTCAGAATTTTAAATACAATTTTTCGTAACTTGATGTTTTAAATAAATTTATTAATTTTCATTTAAGTGAAAATACTATAAAATTCTTTATAAATTTTTTTTAATAGAATTTTAAGATATTTCAATTACATCAAAAAATTTTCAATTCTTCTTTATGAAAATTCAATTATCTTTTAAAAATTGAATCGAAATATTTCAGAATCTTTAAATTTTTCTAAACTTCATTTTTAGAAACAAAATTTGAATTTTTCAATTCTCTGAAAACTCAATTTTTCTTTGAATCTATAATGAAATTCTTTAAAAAATTTAATCATATTTAATTCGATTTCACAAAATTTCAATTAATTTGATAATTATTTAATAAATTTTCTTTCAATAATTGAGAAGTGAAATTGAAAATTCTAAGTAAGAGAAATTAAATTGAACTAAAATTTCTCAGAAATTTTTTTTTTAGCATTTTAAATTATTATTGAAGACATAAATAATTTTTTAAATCAATATCAAAAAAATTATTATTGTAATTTCTTTACAGCAATTGAAATTTGTGCATAAAATTTAGTTTAGGCCCTTTAAATTTTCAAATTTAAAAATTGCAATTGTCTTTAACCAAAATTTTTTCTTTACTTTTACTTTCTTTACTATTCTTGGTTTCCAAATGTTACTACATTTGAAAACCAAGAATATTTCAATTTTTTGAAGTAATAATGATAATAATAATAATAATAATAATAATAATAATAATAATAATAATAATAATAATAATAATAATAATAATAATAATAATAATAATAATAATAATAATAATAATAATAATAATGATAATAATAATAATAATAATAATAATAATAATAATAATAATAATAATAATAATAATAATAATAATATTTAATAATTAATTAAGTTTAGATAAAAAGTATTTAATAATAAATAAATGTTAATAGTAATTAATAAAAACTTAACTAATAATTTAATTACGGTTAATGTATTACTCTAAATTTTAATTATAATATTTTTACTAATTCTACTAATCAGTAGATTTAGTAATTAAATAAAATACTAATTTTATTATATCATAATAATTATATAAATATTAATTATTATAGGTACTAATTGTCTATTTATACATTTAGGGTAATTTATTATTATTAATTAATTATTATATGAATTATATTTAATTATTTATATTTTTAGTAATAGATTAAAAATGTTTCTTTTCGTAAATAACTAAAATTCATTTTTGTTATTATTTGTTTTCATAAAGTTGAATTTCGAATAAGCGTTTAATAATTCTATGTTGAATGAAATCGAATAGGGCACATGCAAGGCTTTCGACTCGAGAAAAGTGATTAGAAAGTTTTGAAAAGTTTAGCCGTTGTGAAACTTCTATTCAGTGAGCTTCATGTTTCAGAGGTTTGATTTTGACTTTGACACTTGAACACAAGCGTAATATTTTTCCATCATTGTGAACGTTTTATAAAAGTGTTTTTTTCTCTCTCTTTCTTTTTTTTCTCTTTTTCTTTCGCTCTCCTTTTGTCCCTCTCTCTCTTTCGAAGACAGATAGGAGAAAAAAAATACTCTCGTTGAAAAGAACTTGTTTTTTCTTTCCTTTTTTCGAAAAAGAACTCGCGGATAATATTTTAAAAAAAATCATGTGGGATTTTGAAAAATTAATCTAAAGAACAATTTTTTTTTTTTTTTTTTTTTTTGGAGAAAATTAAAAACTCACCTTGACGCGAAGCAGATGTTGTAGATTCTGTGATTCACTAATGTTTGGAGGCGGATTATCCGTCCCCAGACGGACGGCCGCAATCACGTTTTCCTTAGTTACATTGTACAAGAAAAGTGTACATACAGTCTGAAATTAAAATGTAAGTTAATATTTCTTTCAGTAAGCTTTTAATCGCACACAATTTTTCTTCTCTTTTAATTTCCGCTCTTTTACATTTTCCGCAACGAATCGTTCTCTCTTCTTTTTAATAATTTTTTAAATGCATAACGAAAAAGAAGGAAATTTTATATTTACTCACAAATTCGAAGAATTTTTAATCCTTATTATTAGTGTATATAATAATTTTTTTCACAAGTCAAAAAGCAAGAATTATTTTAGAGAGAAAAAATTTAATTAAATTTTATTAAAAATTTCTATTTATTTTTAAATATTTTTATAAAACTTTAATTTTATTTTTAAATATCATTTTTTAACGTAAGGTAAATTTTTATCTTTCGTTTATATTTACACGTTTACTATTAAATATTTTATGAACAAATTTGCACTTTATTTTTCTCTTTCTTTTTTGTCGTAACAAATTTTTTCACTGGATGAAAATTAAAAAGAAAATTAGAAAGGAAAGAAGTTTAAAGAGAGCATAAAAATAAAATTTGCAGTGTGTTTAATTTTTTGGTCACATTGAAATTTTTATAAATAATCTCACCTGATTATTTACTTCCTCTCGCATAAAACTGTCTAGGGAAGACACCGCATCCAGCACGGTGAGATTATTATGAGGCCTTAGCAAGGTTTCATCAGTCTCGCTGTACCCCAGGAACATAAATACTCCATGCGGAATGCTATATGCATCTAGAATGAGTGATTCATTGTGGAAATTTATATTTCAATTGTATTTTGTTTAATGAAAGTCGAGCATTTAAAAAAAACAAAAAAAAATCAAATAAAATACACAAATAAAGAAGGGAAAAAGAGGACAAAATTTCATTTACAGTTATAATTTAATTTAATTAAAGTCAAAACCAATAAAATGCGGATATAAATATTCAACTTTATTCGATTCAAATTAATTAATTATTTCTATAAAAATAATAATAAATTTTGCATTTTTTTAAAAACAGGAATTGTTTTTCAAATAATGGAAATTTCATTGTTTACTATCTCTGAATTTGAAAATATTTTTTAAAATTAAAATTCAATACGAAAATTAATTAATTTTGACCTCATTAAATTAGTTATTAAATCATTTTTTCCTGGGGTTCGATAATGTAATATCATTTTACTTTGACTTGCATTTTCATTTTTAAATTCACTTTGATTGATTTTTCTTCATTTTCATTTTGATAGATTTGTATTTTCACTGTCGCTTTGATAGAATTTTCTTTTCACTTCCACTTTTCTTTCACTTTCACTTTCACTTTCACTTTCACTTTCACTTTCACTTTCACTTTCACTTTCACTTTCAACTTGAAAATGAAAATGAAAGTAAAATTGTAAATAAATATCTATAAATGTGAATACGAAAGTGAAAATAAAAATCTGTCAAAGTGAATGTAAAAGCATAAATAAAAATCTATCAATTATGAAAATGAAAGTGAAAATAAAAGCGAAAGAGAAAATAATTTATCAAACTGAAAGTAAAAATGAAATTGGAAATAAAATTCTGTCAAAGTGAAAATAAAAATAACAACGAAAGTGAAAATAATTTATCTAAGTGAAAGTAAAAATGAAATTGGAAATAAAATTCTGTCAAAGTGAAAATGAAAGTAAAAACGAAAGTGAAAATAATTTATCAAAGTGAAAGTAAAAATTAAATTGGAAATAAAATTCTGTCAAAGTGAGAATGAAAATAAAAACGAAAGTGAAAATAAAAATGTATCAAAGTGAAAGTAAAAATGAAAGTGAAAATTTATCAAAGTGAAAGTAAAAATTTGTCAAAGTGAAAATGATAATGAAAGTGAAAATAAAAGTCAAATCAGAAATAAAATTATATAATCTGGAAAAATTTTACGTGAGTGAAAAATAGAGAAATACACCTTAAAATATTTTTATTTATACAAAAAATGATCTCTCTTCTCTTTTGTTAAATAATGGAGAAAAGTTTTAATAGGTGACGATAATTATATAATATCTCGAGATCTTTAAAAAGAAAGAATGTAGAGAGCAAAAAAAAAAAAAAAAAAAAAAAAAAAAATGAGAAGAAAGTAAATTTAAAAATTAATTTGTTTTAATGATTATCAACTTACCGGGAGAAGGTCGCATACAGATGAAACGACCACTATAGCAAAGACAACGACCTCGGTATGCTTGATAAGCTGGAGCTGCATGATTATAGTAAGCGAAGTCAGTTTTGCAAGGTGAAGATTTAACGCAAATTGTATTACAAATTAGAACTTCTCCTTCTCCACATTGGCAGAGTTCCGAACAATCCGGCTCGTCATCGCGATACAACTGGGAGTGAAAAAAAATACATATAAAATTTTTTTTATAATTTTATTTTTTTTTTTTTATAAAAAAAATAAAAATATATTAAAAAAATATTTTTTATTCTAAATGTGATATTTTTTTCTGTGTCAAAAATACAATTTTTTTTACAAGCACAAAGAATATTTGAATTAACAGAAAAATTAATTTTTCCTTTTTTTAAGCAGTTTCAAGTTTGCTATTTAATTTTTAATCAAATCAGTAGTACGAAAACATTTAAGTCAGACAAAAGTGGTTTTACTATTGTACTTTTTATAATTTATAAAATTATTTATAAATTTATAAATTCATTCATAAATTTATATATATTTAAACAATTATATTAATTTTTAATCAATTAATATACATTACAAATTTTGTAGAGTTCTTTAGAAATTTATACAATTAGTTAGAAATTTATATAATTATTTAAAGATTAATATAATTATTTAAAAATTTATATACTTAATTAAACATTTATATAATAGTTTTCAATATTTTATTCAGCCAGTGATTAAAAAACTACTAGTAAACCGTTTTTTAGTCTATTAATAAATTTAAAAGTTAAAAGAAAAATAATAACCAGTAGTATAAACCGTCATTAGTCAGACATTTAATTTGAATTAAAAAATCAGTACCGAACCATCTTTTTAGTCTTAAAATAAGTTTAAAAGTTGAAAGAAAAATATAAATCAGTAGTAAAAACTGTTATTAGTCAGATATTTAATTTAAATTAAAAAATCAGTAGTAAACCGTCATTTTAGTCTGACAATAAGTTTAAAAGTTGAAAGAAAAATATAATTCAGTAGTAAATACTGTCATTAGTCAGACATTTAATTTAAAAAAAAATTAATTTAAAAACAAATTTGAACTCTAATGCAAAAGAAATTGTTGAATTATAAAACTGAATTCAAAAACTTTGAACTTTAATAAAAAAAATTGCTTAATTACAGAAAAATTAATTTAAAAACAAATTTCAACTTGAATAATAAAAAAATTGTTTGTGTCAACATAATTATTTCCTAATAACGAAAAAATACTATTAAAAAGTCTATAATTAGAAAAAAAATTAACTAAAAAAATTACCTGACTATTAAAGAAAAAAGTACCTACTTTGAGAATTTTTGAAATATCACTTTAATGACACATTGTTAAAAGATAATTGACACAATCATAATAAAAAAAAAACATAATTTCAATGTCTCGTGGATATGAAAAGTATATTATAAGTGAATATTTCGAAGGAATTGTATATATATAATTTGCGAGAGATTTTAAAAGAATGACATGAAATTATATATAGGTATATCTTGCGAAGAATCAATATGAAGCGTGCTGAAGACGAGGTAAAAGTTCGAAAGGAAGGCGGTTCACAGTGATAAAGTTGATTTCTCATCTTTAAAAATTCTCATAAAGTTAAAAAGAAGAGGTAAACATTAACTTGCAGTAAAGTAGGAATTTTATACACACATTTAGAATTTTTCCCCCCTAATATTAAAATCTAATATTAGGAAACAAAAAAGAAAAAAGAGAAATTATATAAAACTTACCCTCTTGCCTTTGCCCTCACGAATATATTGTTGTGATTGCCTCGGCCTTTGAACAACGCAGAATCCTGTAATGAAAAATAGAAAAAATTTGTTGAAAAAGAATTTTTTTTTTAAATAAGAAATTAATTTTTATTTTCCAAAAAAGGGTAAGAAAATTAATTTTTGTTTCAATTACTTTTTTCTTTTTTTTTGTTACTTTTTTGATACCTTTTATTTTTTCTCTTTTTTCTCTGTATTTTTTTTTGTTTTCTCTTTTTTTTTCGTAATTTTGCCGGACAACAAAAAGAAATGCGCTATATTACTATCGAATTGTTCAACATACCAACTATCAAGGAATAATGACCTTTTACGCTTTTATTTTACGATTACACATAATATAGAGTACTTGAAGTAAACTACTTTCTTAAGTATTTTATTTAGTACTTCTTTTACTGTAATAGAAATTCATTCAATCAGGAATTTATTTTAATTACTGATTTTAAATTGAGAACTGTATATTATCTTTATTTCCCCAAGAAATTATCCCGAATGGAATATTAAAGTTAATTTTATATTAAGATTTATTTTCCTTTTGTAAATAAAAAAAACAATAAATAAATTAGCAAAAATTTACACTTAAAATAGTAAAAATTAGTAAAATTTATCAAATTTATTGAAATCATTCTTTAAATTAAAGTTTGTCTGACTTGATATTGACTAGAACTACTGAAAATGATGCACTCTATTGTAAAATTGAATTTTTTTTGAGTTTATAAAACTTTTGAAAAAATATAAAAATTAATGCGATTTAAGGATAAAATTAAATAAATTATGCATTGAATTGAAGTTTTTCTGACTCAATATTGACCAAAACTACTAAAAACTAAACTTTTTATTATCGAATATAATTAATTACAACTTTCTTCAGCTTTAGCAATTATATAAAAATTATTGCTACTTTTGAATAATAAAATTATGATTGTAATTATTCACAGTCGAGTTAATTATTGACCAAAACTACTGAAAATAAAACTTTTTATTATCCAATAAAATTAACTGTAATTTTATTCAATTTTAGCCAAAATCTGTATAAAATATTGCATTTAATGGATAATATTAAATTTTCTATTCAGTGTAGTCTGATTAAATATTGACCAAAACTACTGGAAATTATACATTTTACTATAAAAATTTTAATTTATAAAACTTTGGATTATTTATAATAATTATTATGACTGTAAGATATTAATTTATATTTTTAATTAAAGTTTGTCTGATCTAATACTGACCCAAACTACTAATAACTAAACTTTTCAGTATCGAATAGAATTATTACAATTTCCTTCAACTTTGGCAAAAATAAAAAAATTATTGCCTTTCATTGATAAAATTGAATCATTAATTAAGTTACTGTCTAACGAATTATTGACAAAAACTACTGAAAATTATGTTTTCTATTGTTAAATTTATTTATTAAAGTTTGTGAAATTTTCGGTAAATTATAAAAAATGTTGCGATTTAAAGATAACATTAAATCTTCAACTGAAGATTGTCTGACCTAAGATTGACCAAAACTACTGGAAATTATACATTTTACTATAAAAATTAAATTTATTCAAATTTATAAAAGTTTGGGTTATGTACAATAATATTGTGACTGTAAGATATTAATTTATGTCTTTAATTAAAGTTTGTCTGAAAAAGTTTGTGAAACTTTCGGTAAATTATAAAAAATGTTTCGATTTAAGGATAACATTAAGTCTTCAACAAAAGTTTGTCGGACCTAAGATTCTGTCTGAATAAATATTGACCAAAACTACTGGAAATTAAACATTTTACTATAAATATTTAATTAATTCAAATTTATAAAGTTTTGAGTTATATATAATAATTATCATGACTGTAAAATGTTAATTTATATCTTTAATTAAAGTTTGTCTGATCTAATACTGACAAAAAATATTGACAAATTTAATTTATTTTAATTTAAAAAATGATGGGTAAAATAAAAAAAATTATTGCAAACTAAGAATATAGTTATTTTTTAAATTTACAGTGTGTCGGACAAAATATTGACCAAAACTACTGAAAAAGTGAAAACTAAACTTTTTATACTCAAATAAAAACTTCACAACTTTCGCGCAAAGTTGGATTTAGTGAGATTAGTAAAATTTACTTCTGAAGTAGTGAAATTAACGATATTCACTCGGGAAGCCGTAAAATTTACTTTGAAAGCGAAGAACATTTATTCAAAGTTACTATCTTGAAGTAGGTTGTAAAATGAGTAGGTAAAATTTACTCTCAAAATATTTGGGAAAAAAATTCCATGAATTTCAAACATTTGTCGCACATATTCTTCAAAATAAAAAAAGGTAACTTTTAATTTTTTTACCCTTTTATTGTAAAATAAAAAAAGTTACTTTTAATTTTTTTTACCCTTTTATAGTAAAATAAAAAAAGTTACTTTTAATTTTTTTACCCTTTTATAGTAAATTCAATGAAATCTATTTTTGACGCACATTATTCTTTAAAATGGAAAAAGTTACTTTTAATTTTTTTCACCCTTTTTTTATAGTGAATTCAATGAAATTTTTTATTTCTCTGATTATCTTTTTATTTCTCAATATAATTATTGAAATAAAATTGTATAGATAAAAAAAAATAAATGTTACTTACGTGGAGGTGTCGTGCTGGTCGTCGTTGTACTGGGCGTCGTGACAATACTTGTGGTGGTAAGTTCCACAAATTCTGTTGTTGTTTCAGTGGTGGGTTGTCTGGTGGTGATTTCCGGTATCACATTGTCCTCGACTTCCGCCACAATGACAGCCTCTGTCGTTGCTGTGACCGCTCGAGTAGTCGACATTGCCGAGATCGTCGTCGTTCTTGGATGAAGATGATGTTTTCTCCTCGCATGATAATCTTTCTGTGATTCAACTGGAATTTTAAAAATTTAGTTTATTTTATCAAAAATATCATTTTTCTAGAAAATTGTAAGAAAAAATTTGAATTTTTTTTTTTTATTAAAACTATTTAATTATGTTTTGTAATTGTATTCAGTAATTTCAATCACAATTTAATAATTTGTAGTCAGCAATTAATTCATTTATAATTTTGATAATTGTAATTTGTAACTACACAGTTTTTAAATTATTTATTAATTATTTATTTATTATTATATAATGATTATTTGTCAATTATTTATTTATTCATTATTATTTTTATTTTCTAATATTTATTTATTTATCCATTATTTTTCTTTTTTTACCCGAAAAAAATGTTGAATTGTGCGCGATAAAAATAATAATCTTTCACGATTCACTTAATAATTTGTCCTCTGAGAATATTTCGATTGTCATATAATGTTTATAAATATCTCTGTATATATAGTTATAGAGTTTGTATTATATACAAATTCCCAAACGTGAATTTCTAATTTCATTGGTGGGGGGCGAGATAAATTAAAATTTTGATGCATTGCACGTTAGAGAGTAAATAGAGAGAAATAACACACGTATCGAATTGACAAAGCAGTTTAGAATGCACGTAGCTCGCATTCGTTATATAAACGACAAAAGTTGTAGTTTCCCTAGTCGTGTACACGACGAAAGTTCATTTACCTATATTTGTTCGTGAGAAATCCTCTCGTCTTTCCGACATCGAGTCGCGCATTCGGACAGACACGAGACTAAATATTTTAGTACTCAATTCGCGAAACTGCATATACAGTATTTATGTCAACATATATACATATATATTTATAAATAAATCTCTTTTTTCACTTACACGATAAATTGACATTATTGTCAATACAATTTGTAATTCACATTTTTATTCGAAATATTTTTTCGAAAATGATCTCTGGAAATTATTTAATATTTTGCAGGTTATTCAATCTGTTAACAATGCTTTCCAAATTCGGACTAAAATTTTTATTTTCTCTTCATTTTAAATTTTTTCACCACACTGACTGTGAAAAATTAAGGAGAATTCAAAATAACATTGTATTCAATCGTTTAGAAAAATAATAAAATAGTAAAAACGATTTTATAAATTTATTAATAAATAAAATTAAATAAATAATTATTGTGTTTGTTTTTATTAAAAAAATATTATGGTACATGAAAATAATATGAAAAGTAAAAAATTTGACAGATTTGACAGTAATTAATAGTTGATTGTTAATAGAAGAATGAGAATAAATTGAGACGTCTGACTAAAGAGGTCTTTTACTACTGATAGTGGAATTTCGCTTTGAGGAAAAGTGTCTTTACTACTGAAACATTCTCACTAAATTCTGTAAGAAACAAAACTGACTTTTGCTACTTATACTCCGCATATACATAGAGGGGTTTAGGAAAGTTTTGTCTGACAGTGACCGCCTTTTACTACTTGTAGCAAAATGATAATTTAAAATATTTCAAATTAAAGGATTAAAACATGTCTGCAAATAACTAAAAATAGAGAAAATTTCTTAAATATTATCTAAAGAAAATCTTTTTTTTGTACTAATAATAAATTTTGCCTGTATAAAATGTTATGTCTGACTAAAATTGACTATTACTACTTCAACAAGAAGCACGTGTTTAACAACAAAATGAATAATACGAAAAATTAAATAGACGAACATGTAGTGAAGAATTTTAATTAGAAAAGGTAATTCTGAAAATAAACAAACTTTTGTCTGACCAAATCTAATTTCCTCTACTCAGAAGGTTATAAAAGATTTTCTACTTACAGATTAGTAAAAACTACTAAGGAGCAGTAAAATTTACCCTAAAACTAGACAAATTAGCAAAAATTAATCTTGAACTAGTAAAATTTACCCTTAAAGTAGCAAAAACCAAAAAAAATTATTGCAATTTCTTGGAAAAATGGAATTTTTAATTAAGTACTTGTCTGACCAATTATTGGATAAAACTACTGAAAATTAAATTTTTCATTAAATAAAATCAATTACAATTTCTTTGAAATTTAGCAAAAACATAAAAATTATTGCATTTAATTGATAAAATTGAATTTTCAATAAAGTTCTGGCTGACTAATTATTGATCAAAACTACTGAAAATTATGCCTTCTATTCATTGTCGAAAATTTATTAAAATTTTTATAACCTAGGCTAAAATATAAAAATTATTGCGATTAATGAATAAAATTATATATTTTTAATTGAAGTTTGTCTGACCTAATATGGACTAAAACTCCTAGAACTTTTGATAAAATTTAAAAATTCTTGCGTTTTAAGTAGAAAATTATATCTTTAATAAAATTTGGTCTGACATAATATTGACCGAAACTACTGAAAATGGAAAACTATACATTTTCATATTTCTTCTAATATGAAATTTCTATTTTTCATTATAAAATAAAAACTTTACTGCTTTCGGGCAGTTTGAATTAGTATGATTAGTAAAATTTAGTTTTACATTAGTTTTTTACATTTTTTTGACATTAGTGAAATTTACTCCGGAAGCAGTAAAATTTACTGTCGAATTAGTAAAATTTTCTTTTGAAGTAATAGCATTAGTAAACTTTACTCTTGAAGTAGTAAAAGTAATCAAATTTACTTTTAAAATAAGAAATGTAGTAAAATTATCAAATCTTTTTTTTTTTTAGTACAGAAATTGAAAGGAAGAAACTTATTTCTAAAATTAAACAAACATTTGTCTGATCAAATCTAGTTATTCTCTATTGAGAAGTACTATACTGTCTAATTGAAATCAACCTTTACTAATGATAATAAAATTTCAAAGAAATATATAAATGAAGATAATTTCACTAAAAGTCAGTACTTGAATGAAAAATATTTTCTAACATTGCTTTTACTAGTAATAAAAAAAGTAACAAAACTGTAATTTTATTTGGCTGACTAAAAACGAGTTCGACTACTGAATGATATTCTGCAGTTTTTAAATTAAATTCAAAATACTTTATCCTGCAAAAAAAAAGCATTTTATTAATTATACTTGAAAGCACTGAAAATCACTATAAACTTTTGCGGCTGACCATACATTGATTTAGACTAGGTACTACCAATATTTCAAGTCTTTTTCTTCGTCTAACGAAAATTGAATACACATGAAAATTTTTAATATAAAATAATAAAATAATTTATGTTGTTAATATTAATGTAAATAATAAATAATACAATGTTAATAAATAAATAAATAGAAATAAAATAATAGAAACAAAAAAAAATTGACTACTTATACGAAAATTTTAAAAAATTTAGGTACTCTAAAAATTGTGTGTGAATTTGTCCCTTCTTTTACTACTTGATAGTAAAATTTTCGAAAATTGAAAACTCAGTGAGAAAGGAGCAATTTTCGCTCATGAGACCTTAACAAAATTGTTTCGTTTGACTACAACTGTCTTTTACTACTGCAAACATACACACATACAATAAACATGTATGACCATTGGACCACTTACACTAAACTGACATTTATCGATCAATGACATGAACTGTCTTTTTTTCTCTCTCTCTCTCTCTCTCTCTCCTCAATATATTTTAGCACTCTGAACTCTAGACCGTGAATATAACAGATGCGATTTCTTCATATCTAAATGACTTATCAGCTTCGAGTGTAATACTTGGAGAATTACTGAATTTATTTTCAACTTTGAAGATCGATAAAATACCCCGAGGGCTCTAGAATATTATCTCCTCACACTATTTTTTCTCTCTCATTTTTTTTTTCATTTTTAACTCTTTCGCGAACTGTTTCTGTTTACGATTGTTAATCACCATCAGAATATATTTACTATATGGCCATATCAAATCTACAGCTGACCGGTTAAGATCGATTTTGAAAATGAAAATGAATTTTAACTATTGCAACATCCTGTATGCAAATGAATGACTCGACTTTATAGCGCGCTTGCCGAGTGATTAATTTTAATGTTCATTATCAGCCTTTGTTGGATTTATATGTGTATAGAAAATTCCACAATTCTCTATATATCTACATATGTATAATATATATATATATATATTGTATTTATATAAATATATATATATATATATATATATATATATATTAAACCACCTGGTGCGTGTTTGTCAATATTATAACATTTAGAGATAATATTTTCACTAATTATGTCACATATAACGAACTCGATTTGTAATCAGATTACTCTCAATTGCATTTTCATCTCTCGCTATATAAAATTAGTATAATTACATTCAAATATTGTGTACACAAAATGTTTGTTTAATTTTCTATTCAAATTTAAAATTTAATTATTAAATTTTAATATTTATTCTTTCGAAAAATTATCATTAAATTAAGGGAACGTTTTTTTGTTTAATTAATTTTATAGAAAATTAATTTTTTAAGAGGTCTGTATGAAACGTATTTTTTTCTGAAGACAAATTTTTAATTTTGGTTCGTTTTTCAAAATATCGAAAATAGAAAAAATGTTACTTATATTAAAAATTAATATTAATATTATAATAATAATATTTCAATTATTATTTATAATTTAATTATTTAGAATTATAATTTAATTATTTAGAATTATAATTTAATTATTTAGAATTAAAACTTAATTATTTAGCATTATAATTTATTTATTTAGAATTATAACTGAAATACTGGCAAATAAGTAAAATTTCTCCATTGAATATGAAATATTGAGAAAGTTTTGTTATATTTTCAAAAGGGGGCAAGAGGGGGGCTTAGCCCCCTCTTAACCCTGTTCACACACTGTTCTTTATTGTCAGCTATCACTCGATGTGAGAGAGTTTTGTTTTTGAAAAATTGCATTTCGATGATGCAAAAGAGTTTGTAACTTTTCTTCCATATCCTGTGCAACGCTTGTCTTATATATATGTATAAGCATATAACCCGCAATGCGCACCTGCTCGACATTGCAGACATTTTTCGAACGTCTCGCTGACACGTTACTGATCTCATTTTTCAAATTTGAAAATTTAAATAAATAATCCACGTTATTCAATGGAGTAACTCTATCTCATTTTGTTCATCAGTGAAAGTGCTCTCTTAAAATTATATATCTACATGGATAAAAATTTTTTTTTTCGTTATTAAAATGAATATGTTTTGACACAGTTTAAAAATCAATATATATATACTTCAAATTTTGTAGTTATTTAAAAAAGTAAATTTATATTTTAAAAATAACCTATTATTGACCAAAACTACCGAAAAGGACAGTTTTTATTAATAAAAAAAAATTTACAACTTCCTTTATAGATTTTTAGCATTTATAGAAAAATTATTCCTATTTAATAATAAAATTATGATTTTAATTAAAAAAGTTAAATCAAATATTGACCGAAACTACAAAAAAACTATTATTTTTATTATTAAATAAAATTAATTACAATTTCCTTGAATTTTAACAAAAATTTTTGCAAAAGTATAAAATTTATTGAAATTTCAATTTAATGATAAAGTTAAGGTTTGAATAAAAGTTTGTCTATACTAATATTGAATAAAAATACTAAAATTTAAACTGTTTAGAATTAATTTTCTTTGATAATAAAATGTAATAAAACCCTATCAATAAAATATATAATATTTCCGACTCAATAATACAATATATTTATAATTCGTTACAGTCAGACCAAATATTGACCAAGACTAGTAAAAACTAAACTTTTAATAATTAAATAAAATTAGTTACATCTTCCTTCAGGTTTAGCAAAAAAATATATAAAATATTAGATTTTATGGATAAAAATAATTTTCTACATTAAAGTATGTCTGACTTAATATTGACCAAAACTACTAAAAACTAATTTTATTATTAAATAAAATTTTATTAAATAAAATTAGTTACAACTTAAATTCTGTAGAAAAAATATATAAATTATTTGCGATTAAAGAATATAATTAATAAATTATGCTTTAAATTAAACTTCGTCTGACCTAACATTGACAAAAACTACTGAAAACTATAAACTTTATATTATCCAATAAAATTATTTTCAATTTCCTTCGAATTTAGCACAAAGAAAAAAATTATTATATTTCACTGACAAAACTGAATCATAAGTTAAGTTACTGTCTCTGACCAATTATTGACCAAAACTACTGAAAATTATGCATTTTATTGTTAAATTAAATTTATTAAAGTTTGTGAAACATTCGGTAAATTATAAAAATTATTGCGATTTAAGGGACAACATTAAATCTTCAACTAATGTTTGTCTGACCTAAGATTGACCAAAACTACTGAAAATAAAACATTTTATTGTTTTATACATTTATTGTTTTATATTGTTTATATTATTTTATTGTTTTATACATTTATTGTTTATACATTTAATAAAATTAATAACAATCCCTTTCAACTTTAGCCAAAATGTATATAAAATATTGCATTAAATGGATAAAATTAAACTTTCCATCCAGTACTGTCTCACTAAATATTGACCAAAACTACTAAAAATTATACATTTAACCACAAAAATTAAATTTATTCAAATTTATAAAACTTTGGGTTATGTATAATAATATTGTGACTGTAAGATATTAATTTATGTCTTTAATTAAAGTTTGTCTGATCTAATACTGACCAAAACTACTGAAAATAATTTATTACATTGTCAAATTCAATTTATTACTTTTCAGAAAACTATGAATAAAATAAAAAAATTGTTGCGATAAAGGGATTAAATTATTCTTTAAATTAAAGTTTGTCTGATCTAATATTGACCAAAACTACTTAAAATTAAATTTATTATTATACCTTTCATTTTTTTTTTATTTGTAACGAAAGAGATGAATTTAATAAATAAAAATATAAATATTCACTCACCGACGCAAGGGTTAACCCAAAGTAGCCTCTGCCAGCCCACACAATCGTAAATTTGAGACAGGTCGGTGCCTTTACAGGCACAAGTGGTCCTTAATTCCGTGCCTAGAATGCCCAGTAAAGCTTCTCTACATACCGACGTCGATCCTGCACATTTTTTCGTAACACTATCCACAGCACAGCTTTGCTCATAAAATTCTAATTTAGACCTGAAAATACAAATTTTTAATTCAAATTTTTATACAGTAAAACTTTTTATTTTTCAATTTAATGTTTTTGTTATTTAACTTTATCAATTTATGAATTTAATTATTTTTTTTATTCAATTTTTCAATTTTCGTATTATTTATTATTTAAGTACTCAATTCACGATTCATTGTATTTGATTGAAACAAAGATTAAAAATATTAATTACAATAAAAATTATTTCTAAAAGTTATTAATTGTAAAAAAATTAATTAATTAAATAGTTCTAAAATGAGCCAAGTCTGTCTGTAAACGATAGGGAGAAAATAACTAATTACCAATTTTCGTGTCTGACAAAAAAATTAAATTCCACCACTAAAATAGTAAATTTACGTAAAAACAAATTTTTTTTCTGTCTAACTAAAAATTTACTTTTCAATTCAAAAACACTAACGTTTTTAATTTAAAAACCATTTTTCTACCTTTTTAAAAGGAAATAAAAATTTTTCCCCAATAAAATACTGACAATAACAATTTAAGAAATGTCGAAAATTTAATTAAAATTGTTATTCATTTGATGAGAAGTGAAAGTTGATTATATCCTAAAAGTGTGAGAACGAAATTCATGGCCCTTTAAAAACCTATAAAGAATGTTGAATTAATTTTGAGCTTCAATATCGAATTCCTCGTCAGTCATTCTTACAGGTTCGTTTATCATGAATCTATTTTTAGGAGGACAGTAAAATCGATATTTATTCACGGTATATATGTATATAAAGAGAAAAACAAATTACTTCTAACCCGCTGAAAGTTATATTCATTTCATTCCCTCCTCCTTCTATTTCACTAATTTTAGTAATTTCACTTACTTCTCTAATTCCTTTAATTTCACTAAATTTTCACCTACCGGAAATTCCTCATAGAGATTTAATTTGTTTCTTTCTTCAATTTTTTTTTAAATAACAAACATTTTTTTTAAGAAATTTCTTTAAAAAATTTATTATAGAAAATTTAATTTGTTTCTTTTTCCATTTTTTTCCTTAAATAAAAGAAATTTTTATGAGAAATTTATTCTTTCAGAAATTGGTCAGAGATTTAATTTGCTCCTTTTTCCAATTTTTTTTTTCTTAGAAAAAAATTTTTTATTAGGAATTTCTTTTAGAAATTCTTAATAGGGATTCAATTTGATTCATTTTCCAATTTTTTTTTTCTTAAAAAAGATTTAATTTGTTACCTACTTTTTTAAATTTTTTTTCTTAAAAAAAAATTTTTATTAGGAATTTCTTTCAGACATTTTTCATAGAAATTTAATTTGATTTGCTTACCAATTTTCTTCTGAAATAAAAGAAATTTTTATTAATAATTTCAAAAATTGGTCACAGAGATTTAATTTATTTCTTTTTACAATTTTTTTTTTTTTGCTTAAATAAAAGAATTTCTTTCAGAAATTGGTCACAGAGATTTAATTCGTTTCTTTTTTAAATGTTTTTTGCTTAAATAAAATGAAATTTTTATTAGGAATTTCTTTCAGAAATTTGTCATAGAAATTTAATTTGATTTATTTCCCAACTTTTTTTGTTCTTAAATAAAAGATATAAGCAAAAAACTATATTTCTATAACATTGCAATATTTTAGAATATCGTTTTTCAATTAAATTGACGAAATTAAATTTTCACCCATTAGAAATAATGTCTAAAAATGCAAACGTATCTTTTTAATAAAAAATATTGGATAAAGTATTTGTCGTTTGAATTTTAAAAAGTAAGACAGGTGAAGGGAATTAAGAATAGTTTGTTATTTATTAATTTACGAGGAAATGCATTCTCTCGCGAGATATTTTTGCGCAAATATTAATAATAATTAGAGTGGACATTTTCAAAGGAATAAGTTTCTCCGGTTTTTATGGTATGAGAAAAGTTTTTTATTTCTTTTCTTTCATTGTATTGTATGTATATATATAGTTTTAACGAACTTATTTTTGTATTGCCTACCTGCAACTTCTCTCGTCTCTACAAAGTTCCGCTAAACTGTGACAAGTTGGTATTTCTGGTCCTTCCGGACGTTGAGCACACTGCGGATGCATTTTCTCCTTTGCCACTGTGCAATCGTTCCTTTTCTCGTCGTTTGTTCTTTAAAAATTACAAAAAAAGGGCATTTTTTAACGAAAATTTACAAAATAGATAAAAAATTATTTATCTTTTGAATTTTTTTTTCTCTCCTCTCTCTCTCTCTGTCTTTAAAAAATGATTTAGAAAAATTCTCCTAACAAGAAAAAATAAAGTTTAAAATTTGTTAAATTTCCTGAATAAAATATTTTTTATTTCGAAAAAAATACTATAAATGAAAGTTTGTCTGACCAAATATTGACCAAAACTACTAGTAATTATGTATTTTACTATAAAAATTAATTTTTTGTTTTTAATTTCAAAATTAAAAGTTTTAAATGAAAATTAATCTTTAAGATGAAGAGAGAAGAATTAAAAAAATTAAGTTTTTTATTTTTCCTCTAATTTTTTGTTTTTAATTTAATTCCAAAGGTAAAAATGGAAAATAAAAATTAATCTTTAATTTAAATAAATAATAATGGACAAAATTAAAAAATCGTTTTTGTACTTTTTCCCTAAATTACTGTTTATAATTTTAAGAGTAAAAATTTTTACCAAAAAATTAAAATCTTTGAAATAAATAAAAGTAAAAATAGAAAAAATACAATAATTGCTTTAAAAATTTTTTCTTACTAAAATTATTCAAAATAGAATGAATTTATTAAATTTTTAAACAATTGAAATAAAACAATTTTAGACTTTAATTAAATTTCATTTTCCTTTTTATTTATTAATAAGAAAATTTCGTTATCAAGCCTGAATAGAAACTGTCTATAATTAAATAATTACATTTACTAAAATAACTTTAAGAATGATTTAAGTATCATTCAAATTTCTTGACATTTTATTAAAAATTTAATTGAATCAAAGCTGTAAATATCGATATTGAATTTCTCTGTTATTTCTAAAGATATAGATAATTTTTCATGAAAAGGAGAAGGAAGAAAAAATAAATATATATTAAAAAATTGAATAAGAAAATTGAATAAAAGAATTTAATAAAAAATTATTAACAAGGATTAAAATAATAAACATCGAAAATAAAGTCTTCTATTATTAGAGAGGATATACGTAATTTTTAATTAAATGAAAAAGGAAGATAAAAATTATAAGAAGTATTTTTAAAAATGTAGAAAAAAAATTACCAATGAAAATAAAATGAACTAGATTTAATAATAGAAAATATTTTTATAATCGCGCATAAGTCAATGATGCACGTTTTGAAAATTCTTTATAAGACATATTTTTATCCAAAAGAAAGATATTATTGTTCAACGAGCATTAAACAAGTGGATTCACTATTTTATTTGTTGAAGTAAAATAGAATTCTCGTTTCAAATTTTTATTCTACAAACGAAAGAAGTAGGGAGAAAAAGAGAGGAAGAGAGAATAAGAGAAAAAAGAGAGAGAGAGAGCGAGAGAGAGAGAAAGTGTGAGAGAGTTGAGAAAATCAGGAAAAAAGAGAGAAGAACTTTTAAAGAGAATGAAAAATAAGAGAAGGGAAAACAAAAACAAAACGAGAAAAAAAAATGAAAGAGAATAAGAAAAAGACAATGAACAATGTATATATGGTGAACTAAAGTATAAAAAGCAAGTAAGTAAAGGAACGAGTGTAGAGAAAGAAAATGAAGAAGAAAGTTAAAGGGAAATCAGAAAAACAAAAATGAGATGAAGTTTCTCCGTATTGTTTTCCGAAAGCTACTTAAAAAGTTAAACTAGCTCTATTATGGAGAATTTTTTTTCCTAAATGACAAAATAATTATCTGTCAAACTTAAAATAAGTAGAGATAAATGAATGTAACGAAAAAGGGAACAGAAAAAGTATTCTTTATAATAATATTGATAAAATAAATAGTTGAAAATTATAATATTTTGATACTCAATAAACAAATAAATGAATCTTACATTTTATTATAATATCTAATCTTTACTCTTTTCTCTCTAAATTAGAATTAGTAAAAAATGTTTACTAATTTGAATTAATGACTAACTTTTTGCTTTTCAATTAGTAAATTTTATACTAATAAATAGTAACATTTACTAATACAAATTAATAAACATTTTTAACAAAAAAAAGTTAAATAAATAAATATTTAATACTTTAAATATTTTTTCATTACTTTTTTAGTCATTAGATAAAAATTTCATCGAAATTCAATTATTTACAAATTTTTTTAAATTTCCTCATAATATAATTAAATTATTTTTATAAATAATAAAATTCTTTTTAGGAATTAATTTATTTTTATAAATATTTAAATTTTTATAGGAATTCAATTATTTTTATAAATAATAACATTCTTTTTAAAAATTTAATTATTTTCATAAATAGTAAAACTAATCGCAGAATTTCAATTATTTTTAATCAAATTTTAATTAAATTCCTCCATAATGTAATTATTATTAAAATTTTTTTTTAAATTCTTCAAACGAATTCAATTATTTAAAAATTTGTTGATAAAATTCTTTATAAGAATTAATAAAATTGCAATTTTAATAAAATTTTCCTATACAATTCAATTATTTTCAATATAATTCTTCTTAAGAATTCAATTATTTTCACAAATAATACATTTTTTTATGGGAATTCAATTATTTAAAAAAATTTGAATAAAATTCTTCGCAAGAAATCAATTATTTTTATAAATATAATAAAATTTCTCTTGAGAATTCAATTATTTTCAAAAAAGTTGATAAAATGCTTTATAAATTTGAAAAATTGTAATAAAATTGATCACAGAATACAATTATTTTCGTAAAATATAGGAATACAATTATTGTCAAAAAAGTTTGTAAAAATCTTTGAAATAATTCAATTACTTTTGTAAAAAATAAAATTCTTGGAAGCAATTCAATTATTTAAGAAATTTTAATACAATTCTTCCCAAGAATTCAATTTCTTTTCAAAAATAAATTTTTTTACAGGAATTCAATTATTTAAGAATTTTTATACAATTCTTCCCAAGAATTCAATTCTTTTCAAAAATAAAATTCTTTTCAAAAATAAAATTTTTTACAGGAAGTCAATTATTAAAAAAAAAAAATTCTTAAAATTCTTCGTCAGATTTCAATTATTTTCAATTTTTTAATGAAATTTCTCGATGGAATTTCATTTTTTTCAAAAAGCTTTAAAAAATTCTGAGAAATTCAATTATTTAAAAAAATTTGAATAAAATTCTTTTTAGAAATTCACTTATTTTCATAAATAATATAAATCAATGCGGAATTTTAATTATTTATAATTCAATTTTAATCGAATTTCTCGGAAAATGTAATTCTTTATGAGAATTGAATTTTAAGAAACATTCAATTGTTCAATAAATTATTTATTTTTGCGTTGAAAGAATTAAATTCTAGTAGAATTTTCTAATAAAAATTGATTTAATTGAATGTAATTCAATTATTTTTATATTATTTGAAGTTTTTATTTTCTACTATATATTTAATTGAAGAATTTACAAATAATTGAAATTTATAAAATTAAATATTGTAAATAAATGAATTTTGAAAATTGTTGAAGAACTTTTTCGAAAATTAATTGATTTAAAGAAAAATTTTAGTGGAAAATTCTTAATAATAATAATTGAATTAAAAAAAAATGAAAATAATTTTGAATAAGTACAATATTATTATTATAATATAAAATAATGATTTTATCAATTTGCCATCTTTAATTAATATAAAACATGAAGATATCGATCACTCTGAGTCGAAGACTCGGAGTGATCGATTTCTTCGTGTTTTATAGTTATGGAAACATTTAATTATTTAATTATCGACTATTTTGTAAAATTGTAGGTATTATTAATAGTAAATTATTAATTCTTATATTACAATTAATGTAAAGTTAGAAAAAAAAATGTAAACTCGTATATAATACAATAAAGTATAAAATAAAATATAATAAAACACAAAAATACAAAAAAAAATTTTTTTGCAATAAAAAATTTAGTACTCACTTGCACAGACAGAATGCGATTTCCACCGAGTGTTTATGACTTGCCGACTTGTAAAAATGCTGAAGCGCATCCATGCATTCGTTTCTGGCGCATGTTGCCTGATCGCAATGGTTTAGAACAGGCTGAAGTACTGCTCTACAATCTGGGTCGTTCCTGGAAGAAATGTTCTCGTTAACTATGCAAATGCCTTTTGGTTCATTCGAATCTCTCTTTCTCTATATATAGTGATATTTAGATTATACTTAATGAAGTTTTTTATTATATATTTCAAGGTATATTAATTCTCAAAGGGGGAAATTTTAAACTCAATAGAAGAAATTTTTCAAATTAGTGGAATAATTTTTTTTTTTGTAAATTAAGAGATGAAATTTTTAAACTAAAAGACGGGAACTTTGAAATAAAATAAATAAAGTAAAGAAATTCGAAAAGAAAAACAGGAAATTTAGAAAAAGGAAGTATTTTCAAATTTGGAGGAAAAGATTTTTAAATAAAGAAAAGAGAATATTTTTTATTAAAAAAAGGGGAATTTTAAAGGAAGAGATTTGAAAATAAAAAAAAAATATTTAAAATAGAATATAAAAATTAAAAATCGGAGGCTTGATTATGTAATTTAATTATTACTTTGACTTTCAATTTCACTTTCACTATGACAGATTTTTATTTTCATTTTCATTTTTACTTTCACTTTCATTGATTTTTCTTCAACTCTATTTTTACTTTGATAAATTTTTATTCTTCCTTTCACTTTTATTTTCAAATAAGAAGAAAAATATTTTAAATTTAAGTAAAGGTTTTTTAAAACCTAAAATAAAAATAATTTTTTGGAAAAAGGGGAAAATATTTTAGAATCAAAAAAAGAAAAATTTAAAACTACAGAAAGAGATTTTAAAATGAAAAAAAATTTTACACAAAGAGATTTCAAATAAAATAGAATTTTCGAATTAAAAGAAAAATTATAAATGAAGGAAAATGTTTAAAATAAGAAGAAGTAAATATTAGAATATTATCAAAAGAAAATAAAAAATAATATCAAAAGAAAATAAAAAATAATATCAAAAAGATAAATAGAAATTTTTAAAAATTAGAAAAAATTTTGAAACTAAAAGGAATAATAAATAGCAAAAAGGAAAATAAAAAGGAAGAGTTTCTAAAATAAAAAATAAATTCTAAAATTTAAAAAAAAAAATTTTAAATTCAAAAATAGGAAAAAAATATAAATATAAAAAACTGCCTCCATATATGAGAAATAAAAAATGAGAGAAAGTAGAAGAATACTCACTTGCAAGACGCATAAGCGTGATGGCACGTGCTGGTTAGAATCACCTTCGTTGGCTGAGGTATTATTCTTTCAGAGTCAGGCAACGAAGACGGTATCGCCAGTCCGGCTGGAAAAATAAAATACAAAAAGAAAAAATAAAGAAAAGTATAGATATTTATAGCTTTCTCTTACGATACTCGCAATGATATTTCAAAAAGGATCTAAAATATAAAACACCATTTTCTATCTCTCGAAAGGATGCTTCTTCAAGGAATCAATATATTTTTATTTCACAAGATACAGTGATAGAATTTTTACTCAAAATAATTCAATAGTTTCTTTTTTTTCGATATGGAAGGGTAATTCGTAATCATAAAGTATATATAAATATTTTCATTTTACTACTTGAATTAAATAAATAGAATTTTTTTTTCTGTCAAAAATATTGAATTTAAAATATTATTATATTTATTTAAATTTTTTTTTTTGCATAGGAAATTAAAAATATTATTTTTCAAAGAAGACTAAAAATACTTTTTTTTTGCATAAGAAGTTAAGAATATTATTTTGCAAATAAATAAAAATAATTTTTTTAATTTCCTACCCCAAAATAAATAATAAACTATTAAAAATAATATTTTTAATTTCTTCTGCAAAAAAAATAATAATAATTTTCTATGCAAAAAAATATTTTAAATTTTCTACCAAAAAATTTTTTTTCGCTGCAAAATATTAAAAATATTTTTTCTTCAAAGCATTCAAAAATTATTCTCCCAACTTTAAAGTCAATCCATTTATCCACGTCTATATAAAGTTTTTTGCGATATCAAATCGATTTCGTCTGTTATGAGCTCACGTATTCAACGACACAATTGGCTTCTTTCAACATACAGGAATTTTTCAAAGTTTTGCCCTTGTGTACTCAAAAAAAAAAAAAAATTTCTTTTCAAGAATATCTCATCACAAGCGTTGTGTACATTTTATATAAAAGAAAAATAATATTCAAAATCCATTGAAAAAAGTACACTGAAAATATGGGAATTGTAATTTTATTTTCTCCACTTTTCGAAATTATAATGTGAATCCCTTTTTTTGTATGAAACAAATGAGAAAAATATTTATTTATAAATAATGATATTTACTATTAAAAAAAATATTTTTTATAATATTTTTTATATTTTTTTAAAAAAAATTTTTATATATTTTGCACATTTTTTAAAAATAGAATTTAAAGTTAAAAAATGTAAATTTAATTTAATTCCGAACGTAACGATTTAATAGACTAAATATAGAAAGACAATAAAAAAGACATTGATTGAATGTGAGGAGATAAATGAAAATTTCCCAAAGAAATAAGAACGGCAAATTACTTTGGTCTTGTGGTTGTAATTTTTTTTCTCCTTTTTTTTCTTGCTGTAAAGGAAAAAGTGTTAGCGAGCTAATTCTGTTGAGAGAAAGAAAGATAAAAAGCGTCTGTACTCTCTCGACCCTTTGTCATTAACGTAACTCCTTTTTCGTGAACAAGTCTATCACTTGTCTCGAAGGTTATTGGTTACATTGGTGGTGATCGTTCGTCATCGGGACAACTTTACTCTCAGTGTCTTTCCTAATGATCGAAACGATCCTCCAAAAACCAAATCGACCATTTCAATCACACAGTTACAGTTAAAAAAAAATGAAAAACGAAAATTTTGATTAAAAATTTACCTATAAATTTGTTATTCTTAATTATTAATAGTTTTCTTAACAAAAACAATTTTTTTTTATTTTCAATTTAAAAAATATATTTTTGTATTTTTTAATTTAAAAAAAAAATTATTTTTCTGTACTCTTTAATTAAGAAAATATTATTTTGCTGTATTTTTTAATTAAAAAAATATTATTTTCTTGTACTTTTTATAATTCGAATATTATAAATTCAAATTAATTTTTTTTCTCTATCAAGGACGCAACTGATATTTTTTTGTACTTTTTGCTTTTTTCCTTTATTTCAAAATTACAAAACTATGAATTCCTTCAACAATTTCTATTTTCACAGAAATAAAAATAGTGATACTTGTACTTTAATTTTTTTTTTTGTAATATTCACTTTTTTCTTTATTTTAAAAAATATTGTGAATTACTTCAAACAATTTTTTTTTCATTGTAAAAAATTGAAATCAAGTATTTATTTGTACCTTTAGAATTTATTTTTACTCTTTCTTTACTTAAGACTTACAAAATTACAAAATTGTTAACTAGGTATTTTTAACAATATTTTTCTTTTTTTTGATTTTTTTTCTTAGAGTCGTTTTACTTTTCTTTTGTTCTTTAAGAATTGTGTTTTTTTATGGATTAAAAAATCAAAAATTTGGTATTTTATTTAAAAACTTAAAATTTCTGAAATAATTTTATTCAATTACAAAATTTTTTTTGTTCTCACATTTTACTTTTCTTTTGTTTTTTCAGAATTTTCAGAATCTTTAGAGATTAAAAAAAATACAAATTTTGTAATTTTATTAAAAATTTGAAATTTCTGAAATAATTTTGTTTTTTTTTTATAATTTGAGAATTTTGTTATTTTTATAATTGGAAAATTACAAAATTACAAAAATTTAACAAATTCTAACCATTTTGTTCTTTATTTAAAAAAAAACTGAAAATTTTTTTCTAAATTTTTGTTTTTTTTAACGTTTAAATTTATTTTCACAAATAAAAAACTACAAAATTATAAAATATTTTTTGTTCTCGCATTTTACTTTTCTTTTGTTTTTTCAGAATTTTTTAATCTTTACAGATTAAAAAAAAATACAAATTTTGTAATTTTATTAAAAATTTGGAATTTCTGAAATAATTTTGTTCTTTCTGTACTTTTAGAATTTTAGAATTTCTTAATTTTAAAATCACAAAATTACAAAAATTTAACAAATTCTAACCATTTTGTTCTTTACATAGAAAAAACTGAATTTTTTTTATTTTTTTAACGTTTAAATTTATTTTTACAAATAAAATAACATTCTCTTATTAGAATGTGTTTGACTTTTCTCTTTATCTTTTAGAATTTTGTAATTTTTATGGATTAAAAAAGATAAAAAATTGTGATTTTATTAAAAGTTTGAAATTTTTTTTTCTGTACTTTTGTAATTAATATAACTTTTATAATTTGAAGATTACAAAATTAAAAAAATTTAAAACTACAAACCATTTTTTCTTTATATAAAAAAACTGAAAATATCTACTAAAATTGAAAATTTTTTTAACGTTCAAATTTATTTTTTATTCTAATAAAAAATTACAAAAGTTATGAATTACTCTAAACAATTTTTTTTTCATTTAATAAATAAAAGATTAAAAAATTATAAAAATTTAACAAATTCGGACTATTTTGTTCTTCTTTACGTAAAAGAAACTGAAAAATATCAACTTAATTAATTTATTTTCTTGATTAGATATATTTTTTTAAATAAAAAATTACAAAATTATTCATTACTTCGCAAAATTTTTTTTGTATTTTTTTTTGTTCTGTTAGAAAGAGTTTTGTTTTTCTTGTGTTCTTTTAGAACTTTGTAATTTTATATATTATTCATTTTTGTATTTTTATTTTTTTTGCATAAAAAATTACAAAATTACCAAATAACAAAATATTATTTTCAATAAATAATTATTCTATTAAGCAATTATTTTCGTTTATTAAATAAAAATAACTATAATTGTTTTTATTTTTTTTTTTTTCACTTATAGAATTATTTTGTACAGACAATAATTATTTTTGAAAAAAAGTTTTTTTCTACTTTAAAATAGTTACACAGTTTTTCTCAATCCAATTTATACAAAACTGAATCAAATTCGATCCAAATTGATAGGAAAAATTTTGCCGAAATTATGATTAATATCTAAAAATATTGATACCAATTTTACTGCAATTTGATACTTTTTAAATAAAGAGTAACATTTTTTTTATATTTTTTTCACTTTTGTTTCCTTTTTTTCCTACTTTTTCAATAAACTGTTAAAAATTAAAAGAAGAAAAAATTTGAAAAATTGAAAAAAACGAAGAGAAAAATATTTTGACAAGGGTTTTTCAGAATATAATGGCCACCCTGTATATAAAGGGAAGGAAGTGAAGACGAAAAGATGTGACACTTACCCATATATACACCATCATAGGGCCAGTTTTGCAAACGACACGTTGTCAAGTTGACAATTTATCATTTATTTGTACCCGGGAGAGCATGGAAAACTAGGTCTCGCGCAATGTAAACAGGCGTCGCGCAGGTACAGTCTACACACCCTGATAATGTTTAACTTTACCAATGTCAATTTACCTCGGGGAAAAAACGAGATAAGAGGGGAACTAGAAAGTATGACATAAAAAAGAATAAACCGCGTCTTTTGTCGACGCACCATCATCGAAGAGGGAAGAAGAGAGAAAGAAAGATTTTTATTTCTCCTCTCCTTTTTCTCCTTAAAAAACTTTTTTTTAAAATTATCTTTCTGATAGTATGTTTGCTTTTTCTCCCTCCTTTTTTTTGATTATATGATGAAAACACATGTTATGTATAGAAATAAATTTTGAACTGATTTATTTCCATGTTTTTTTTCTTTTTTCCTTTCTTTTTTTCTTTTTTCCTTTAGTTCCCTTTTTCTATTTCCCAGACTTTGCACTCGATAATTAATTTCAAAAAAGCAGTAAAAAGTAGCTTTTAAACTAAAAAAAAAGTAGCTATTGAAACATTAAACTTGACGACCAAAAAAAAAAACTCGTTTTAGATACTTTACAAAACTGACAAAAATCCTATTCAATATTTTTTATTTTCCTGACTATTTCTTAATTTTCACAAAAAATATTTACTTCTTCATGAAAGAATTTAAATATTTATTTATAAAAAAAATTAATTCTTGCGAAGAATTTTATAAAAATTTTTACATAATTGATTTCTTTCGACTAATTTTATGCAAATTATAATTTAAACAATTGAATTCCTGAGAAATTTTTCCTTTTCATGAAAAAAATTGAATTCTTACAAAGATTTTTGCAAAAAATTTTGAAATAAGTGAATTCTGTTTGAAAATATTATGAAAATACGAGTAGATACTGAAAATCATTGAATTGAGAAAAATATCTGTAAAATAATTAAATTTTACAAA